AAGATAAAAACTGAATAAAAAATAGCGCTAAGCTGTATTTTTTGTCTGTTTTTGGCAACTGAATTAAAATAGAAGAGAGAGTTTGTATATATAACTGTAAGCGAGCAGGTATACCATCAACCAGACACTGGAACTACTGTAGCTGTCTCTGATACTAGTGGGTAAGCAACACCTCCTATGCTAGTGTGGAAGTTAGCACAAAGATAGCATTATCACACAAGTAACACAAGTATGGAAGCTTGTTTCCACAAATGAATTTTTATGTATTTATGTGTTTTATTTTGCTGTTTGTAAGTGTTGCAGGTTGGTGTCTCAAGATAATAACCTGAAATTCTGACTTATTTACGGCAAGAAAAAAGAAATCTGCAGCGGAAAGTGTCTTGCCCAAGGACACAACGACCAGGACAGAGAGCCCAGGGATCAAACCGGCAACCTTCCGGTTACAGATACTCTTCCCAACCCCCTGAGCCACGGTCGCCCCCGTTTTGTAGATTTTGATGAATATGATGGGAATTACCATAAAGAAAATAAAGCAGTACTATGGGTTTGTCTGTTTTTGCTAGCCTTATATGTGTGTCCCAAAACTGCATAAAATTACTAAAAAATTTCTGATATGGTTCAAAAAAGGTTTGCCAGTTTATCTACGCTTCCAAACTGAAACCCAAAGAAGAGCAGAGGTGCAGCCAAAATAACTGAAATAATATTCAGGCTAACTCTCAGAATTGCACCACATACACAGTGTTTGCCTCACATTTAGTTTGGTAACATCTGGCTTCCCTTCTGAGCACATTTATGAATGTAGTTTGCTAGTGTTGATGACTGATGACACTCAAATATAGTAACTTCTGGCTGCAAAAATCGACAGTACGGCAGCTAACATGCTAACACTGAGGCGTCAAACTGAGTCCAAGACCAATGGATGCCTTATTGTGGCTACAAAAATCTTTTGTTAATGCGTCACATCATATTCGAGAGTTGTCTTTCATATTGGGTATAATACAACCACCAGTTTCTAGGGGAAAATGTATAAGGAAAAACTGGATAAAAATGGTTCGTGGAGGTTGCTGATTGGTTGCAAATAAGAGTATAGCTTTGGTTGCTGTTAGATTACCAGTTTTTAATTTTTTACCCACTAACTACTAGCCTGACGGTAGTAAAACTTGAAAAAGTACAATCCCAAATAGAAATGGAGAAAACTGTGCCTTAATAACATATAGCCAATGGAAGGTGGGTTTATAAAACCAGTCAGCATAAAAGTTTAACTCAAGCATTTGAACACACTGTCAGTGCTGTGTTAAAACTAAAATAAAATGTGTTCTGTTTTTTAAATATAGAAACTCATTTGAATGAATATTTTTAGTTTAATTATAAATTAAATTATATTTTAATTTAACTCAGCCACCTCATTCAGAGTAAGTAACTATCTCTCTAGCACCTCCTGGTGGCTCCAAACTAAATTGCAGCCAAAACCTGTATGGTCCGTATGTTATATACAGAGCTAATATGATATTTGACAGGCTGACATGCATATAATGGGTATTTGGAACTTCTATGAAATTAAAATGACATTTTAAAGTGTAATTTGTAACTGTTCCCTGGTGTAAGTGAGCTTCTGTACCTTCACCTAGGTAAAGTTTACCTCTCACCCAGGCTTTGACTTCAGGGCTCAGTGGCGTGGGCTGAGCGACTTGTAAAGGGGCGGGACAGGTGATGAAGTAACAAACAGAGGGTATAAATTCTTTAGTATGTGTGCGTTTGGCCATGAGGACAGTAGAAACTGAAAAATTCGTGGTTTCTGCTAGCTTATCTTTGTTTCTAAGGGTGTCCGAGCTAGCATCAGCTAACACTCAGGTTTTCAAACTCCAAACTGCCAAGGACACTTTTCCGAAAAAAGAGAGGTGCTGAGCAATGAGCGCACCCTGACCAGTTTTTCCCTTTCTTTTTTTCTTTCCTCTGGCATTTTTAGATAAACTTTCAGCAGCAAAGGAGCCTGAATCACTTTTTGAACTTTTTATAGTTAGTAAAACTTGTTTTTTTTGCTAGTTCGCCATGGAGAGCCAGAGCAGCAGGGCTGCTACACAGGAGTACCCCAACCCTTTCATTCATGAGCTGAAGCTGACCAAGGCGCAGTGGATCAAGGTACTCATTACATGTATTGATTTTATGCTTGGAAGTAGGGCAGGATGTCCGGCAGACCTACTGCCCTGCTTTAAACAGTTAATCTTCTGCTTAACCAGAGACCCTTGCTAACTCTGGGTTTGTCTCCGGTTTTTGGAGGTTATAAAGGTAATCCGCAAAATGCTAATTTATGCTACCAGATGTGATAGCCTGTTTTATTTTGTTTTAAAAGCTCAGTTTCCCACATATTTCTGCTTAAAATTAACTTAAAATCAGAATTAATCAGAATTAAAATAATCAAAATCCAATTAAATAATCAAAGTGAGTAAATGAAACGGGAATGTTAGATGTATTTATTGAGGAAAATTATCTACTATTATTAGAAAAAGTATGTAAAAATCTCCTTTTCTGGTCCTTTTTTGTAACTTCCTCTGTAAATATAACATTATTGATCATTTCAATATTTCTGCTATAAGTAGACAAGTCTAATGGCACAAAAAATGTTTGTGAGATCAGGTATTTGGTCATTTAATTATTCAGAAACATGTTTCATAAGCATGGTCTTTTTCTAGTCTAAATATAACTTAAAGTATCACCTAATCTTTTGCCCCCTTTTTTTCACAAGTAGATAAATCTAAACAAACCAAACTGGAGAAAGTATATCAAAAAACAGTTTTGGTATGAATTTCTCAATTAATGTAACCTGATTTTCCCACGCTTTTACTGTAATTAGTAATCAAATTTAGCAAATAAAATTAGTTAATTACTTAATAAGTATAAGGACCCAATAGTAATTACCTAAAATTGGAAAAAATATCTAAAAACTTCTATTCTGACCTTTTTCTCTGAATGTATAACTTGATATAACCTAAATCGTCAACCAATTTTTACATATTTTTGCTGTAAATAGATTAAAAACCAAACAAACTGAACAGATGAAATAAGGCTGAGGAAAATGCTCCATTGCTGCACATTAGTGATTTTAGAGAAGTGTGTCTCTAGGAGCAGCAGTGAATTTAAAGGTTATATTAGAGGTAAATGCTTTGATTCAGGGATGGGGTGAAACTATTTAACTTTTAAGTCTGTTCTCAGACTGTATGTTGGTGACTTTTCTTAAGGCAAATGATGTAGTGAAGGTCAGACGTTAAACCTTTTGTCAGGTTTTTCATGGTCAGATCTACCCATGCCACTTATCGAGCCTTATAGACCTTTTATAATGGGTTATACACCAAGTCACATTAACCTGCTAACATACAAACTCACATCGACTTTTTTAAAACTCAGTTCTTCCGTAATGAGGCATCTCTGTTTTGATATAGAGATTATAAATCCAAATCATAGTGTTTCTGTACAGAGTATATAAATATTACACATCTGTAAACCAGATGTTTGTTTGGATTTTCTTTGAAAAGTTCGTTTGAACCTTGACACGGAGGAGTTCACTGTAGTTGCTTGTACCCAGATCATCTATATTTTGGTCTTCTAATCATGCTAACATACTATTACGCATACAAACGAGAACTAAAGCTTTAACATGCGTTTTTTCATCAATTGTGTGTTTTTTAAGAATTATTTTTCTTAAAAATGAATGAAAGTCATGATGATGTGTTTCACTTGATGGGACCCCTGCATTATGTTTAAACAACTCTAATTTTACCCATCTGATCCTGCAGGGCATAATCCTGGGCTGCACCCTGCTCCCCATACGGGTCTTCCTGGCGTGGATCTTGTTAATCGCTGCTTGGATCGTCGCTGTGCCGAGATTGGCTGGCCTGTCTCAGGAGGAACGCTCCAAACCCTTATCAGGCTGGCGGCGCTGGTTGTTCCACCCGATCCTGTGGCTGCTGGGCCGTGCAGTGTTCTTCTGCGTGGGCTTCCATTGGGTTAAGGTGAAAGGTCGTAAGGCGGATGTGAAGGAGGCGCCGATCCTGGTAGTGGCGCCCCACAGCAGCTTCTTGGACATGGTGATCATGTTTCCAGCCGGGGTGCCGTCAGTTGTGTCGCGGTCGGAAAACATAAACCTGCCGGTCATAGGAGGTGAAGAGAGAGATGGAATTTGTTTACTTTGCCATTGTTTATACACCTGGAAGCACCTGTTGGATCGCTAAAGAGTTTCTTTTTAAAGTATCCTGATGGGAGCTGTTGGTGTTTCTTTGTTTTGCTGACTGAGACACAGTTCACATTTTACAGGCTGAGCTGTCACTTTAGTCATTTATTGAGGTCTAGCTTGCATTTGCAGTATAGACAGGATGCCCACGTACTGTGTAGTAATATCTAAAGTAAAACATGAAGATGATCCAGTGACAAGATCAGGAGCTTCACTCCTCTAGCTTCTAATCTGCTCTATCTGCTCTAATAGTTCCTGATTAGATTTCTGGGATTTTTTTTTAAATGTTTCAGCTCTGCTGGAGTGCAATCAGTCTGTTCTTGTGAGCAGGAGGGATCCTGAGTCCAGGAAAGAAGCCGTCTCAGAGCTAAACAAGAGGGTCACCTCCGATGGATCCTGGCCTCAGGTGAGATGTTTTTGTGTCACTCGATACTCTTGTGGGTTATGTCGTCTTTCTGCTAAAAGGGATCATTAATATATTCAAGTATAAAGACTGAAACTGCCCTTTCTTCATACCTGCATAGATACTGATGTTTCCTGAAGGAACCACAACTAATGGCCGCTGTCTGCTCAGATTCAAGACTGGTGAGTTAAATCTACACACAGAGACAAAGAAAACCCCCTGAAACATAAATAAAATCTCACGTGATGCCATGTTTCATTAAAAACTAAACCTAATAATAATAATGATTAAAAAAAAGTTAAAAACACTGTTTCTGAGATCTTAAGCAGCAGATTTGGGTTGTAAAAGAACAAATACATGGAGGTTAAAAGCATATCTAATCGTGTTACATGCTTTGAGCTTCGACTCCTCTCACTCCGTGTCTCAGGCGCTGAGCACTCGACGTAATAGGAGGAATCAAAGATTGAGAAGTGAGTGAGGAGTTCTGTCTTATTTCTGTGTCTCTGTCACATCAGGTGCTTTCGTTCCCGGCGTCCCCGTCCAGCCCGTCGTGTTGCATTACCCCAACGAGCTGGTGAGTAAAATCATTAAAGCAGCAGCTTGATCTAGTTATCAGCAACACAGCAGCTTTTTGTGAATGAAACCAAACATTTTTCTCAATTACGACGAGGACAAAACCTCCATGAAATGAAGTGTAATAAATTGTAATTGTACGACAATGCAGAGGCAACATTTAGTTTCCTGCCAGTAGAGTTATGTGTTGATTTGGGGGTGGGTTTTTCAGGCAAGCTTTCACTTGTTTTGCTGCCTGTAGTTAATCTGAATGAATGCAGTTAAACCTGCTGCAAATAAAGACATTTATCTGCAGCTGCTTAAGCCTCGCACCTTAGGCTGTCATGATTTGGCATATTAATAACATCCTACTGGACTCCATTAAGTAATGCTTATCTGTCGGTGAATATTTCCTGGTCTTGGTCTCTGCTTAAAGAGATGCATAGTTCTGTAAGAGATCAGGATGTTTGCTCAGCCGTGACACTGATGAGTGACGAGCAGCAGTTTAATGGAAAGGCAGATTATATGGTAATAACAACATTTTAAGAAATTAGTCAAAATGAAAGGTTGTAACTTAAGCCTGAAGGTTAGTTGATCACATTCACGCTGCGATAGCGCCGCCAACTACATGCATCTCGTTCCATAACAGCATCCTCTGCAGCGACGTACATACGAGTCTAGTTTGACAGGAGGCGAAGACCAGAAATGTAATTTTTCCTCCCAGTACCAGGCAGGGTTTGTGAGCTATTTTAGCCGAGATGGCTGCAGTCAAAAGGTTACATCTATCTGCAGCTGTTCAGCTAGCACAGCGAAAGAGTCACAGAGCAGGTGTCTGTGAGCTGATGTGATTTTAGGCCAAATACAGCACAGAGGGAAAAGGAGGAGCAGGGGTGGATGTAGGCTGCCAAGCCCACCACCAATAACTTTTGAAATAGTCCTGCTAAAAGGAAGATGAACACACTGGAGCAATCACTTTGAGCACTATCTACTATATGCATTGTTCACCTGGTCAAAGAGATTCATATAAGCCCTTTTTTGGGTTCAGTAGCTCCCCCATGGATAAGTAAACATGCAGACTGGGGGAGCAGAGGATCGAAACACTGCCCTTCATATGGCCTTCTCTGGCTCTACCTCCTGACCTCCAAGTATCCAAGAGAGTTTCTTTGTCAGAGCGATGAAACTAAACTGCTCTGCAGACACATCAGAGTACAGGCTGACCAGAGGTCCTTACACAGAGGAGGACAGTAAAGTTACATAATAAAACAAAACAACAAAACAGAATGAAGACAATCGTAGTGATAATCTTAATACTGAAGGAGAGTTAATCTTAGACTGAGAGAGCCAAATCAGCATTATTAATGTCATGTGGGAGTCTTTGATATAGTCACTGACTGACAAGTACTTGTGAGGCCTTCTAAAAGGAAACTGTTTGTGGTGCCAGGCACCATTTAAACACACTGTGGCGTTTGCACACGCTGGGTCCTGTCAGCGTGTGCAAACGGGGGAAATGAAATACTGTTAAAGTCATACATGCTGTGAGAAAATGCGTCACTCAGACTGATGCTAAACAGTTTAATGCAAGCTTTTCTCTGACTCTCCCTCAGGATACTATTCGCTGGACATACAAAGGAAGCAACTGGTGAGTCTGTTCACTTCTCCAGCTCAGAATCTGTGTGTTTGACATTTTGAGGCAGCACAAGGAATCAGCTGGAAGCCTCCTGGACTTTGGACTTTTTTTTTTTTTAACTCTTTTACTTTCTGAATTTGCTCATGGGCCTGAGAAATGCTGCTCATGAGTTTTAACTAATACACAGAAAGTGAGTATTAGCTTGTTAGCTTTGCATCAGTGTTATAAATCCTGAATGGTTAGTTATACAGAGGGCTACTTAAAAAAGAATGAATTTAACAGACAGTTCAGACAGTTAAATCTGAGACTGAATGTAAGCACAGGTTTTTGCACAGGTCCCTTTTTTAGCATCAGCAATCAGTTTATTTAAGAAAAATATGTAATAATGAGTCACATATATTACAATGAATTACTTCTTAGGGCTGAAAGTTGTATAAGTGGAAGAAAATAGATGGATGTGTGGATTTTGGAAAAAATAACCAATATCTTCCTGTTTTTGTCTCGTTAGGTTTCAGGTGCTGTTTCACACGCTTTCACAGCCGTACACCAACATCACTATTGAGGTAAGAGCTCACCGAGGTTAACCACCACGCTTGTTATCAATCATTAGACGTTATCAGCACATCTGATGATGTAAAGGTGTACACAATGTGCGTTTGGCACAGGTGATATCAGCAGTGGAGGGTGTGAGCGGAGGTGTGGCAGAGATTACGTCTTCAGTTTTTAGAGCTGCTTTGACAGCGCACGTGTCTGCAGACGAGATCCTCTGCGTGCGTTTGTGTCGATTCGTGTGCCTGCCTCTCTATTGAGCTGTTACTGTTGTCTAGACGCTGTAAACACACAAATCAATGTTTGCCTGTTTATTGTGCTGCAGTTCCTGCCGGTTTACACTCCGTCCGAGGAGGAGAAGAAGAACTCCAGACTGTTTGCAGGCAACGTTCAGAAAGTCATGGCGAGGTGAGACCCACGTCACACAGCTGCTTTTATTATGACTCACTCGTTCGCCTGAGTGTATCAGTACTTGCTTCTGGAAACTGCCGTCTGCTATCAGCCATGCCGAACTAAAACGTGTGACCCTCCAAACTAAAAGGAATCACAGACACCACTGAACACATGACAAAAACCGCCTATTTTCTGCATCCAGTGTCCTGCAGGACTGTGCGGCTTAGCTGGGCCTTCATCTGAGACCCTGACATGTCACACTCAGCTGTTTTAGCAGTATTGTGCTTTAGATAAGATGAATCCACCTGATTACAGCCAGTTAAGGCTCATTGATCGCCTCATAAGAGTTTTGGATGTTGTGTTTTTATAAGTGTACTGTCATTAAAGATGTCTCATTATCATTCTGAAATGAAACTCAAACTAGCTTTAGCTGTTTTAAATAAAAAAGGCTTGCTGAAAGGCACCTGCTGTTGGTTTTTCTGGTATCTCAGGGACCAAATATTTGTATAATGACTTCGGTGTAGGAAGAATAAATATCTACATTAGTTGTTTTTGTTGGTGTATGTGTAAACTGCACTTTGGAGTCACATTGATCCTAACAGAGCTCACAGCCAGTGTTTCCATTTAGAAAGAAGAAAATGTTAGAATAATAACAGAATCATCCAGTAATTCAAATAGAATCACCCCAGACCTGAAAGGACTCTTCAGGCAGATTAAAGGGAAATCTTTGTTTGACTTTGTGTCAGTTGTTGTAATCTGTTTGCTTTTTTCTTCTGTATGTTAGCGCTCTGGGAGTCCCTGCCTCAGACTACGTGATGGCAGGCCGGATTCCAGTCAGTAAGCTGAATGACCTCTCTGTCCCGCTTGAGTCTCCTGGGAAAGAAGCAATGACACTTCTATACAGAAAAGGGTGAGAGCCCGTTTGGATTTACCTTTTACTAAATCTGGTTTATTTATCATGTGAGAAACTCCTCCTCATCCTCTCCTCACACTGTGGTCTTTGTCCTCCTCTCCTATCAGTCTGGGCCCACGTGATGTAGAGGCAGCGTTGGACAGGATGATTGACAGGATGATTGACAGGTGTCGCTCAGGAGCCGAGGGCACAAAGGCCAGCGCAGAGGAGCTCGCCTCCATTCTCGGGCTTAACAAAAAGACAGCCATCCACATCTGCAGCCTCTACTCTAAGGTACTCTTATTGTTAGAGCCAGCCAAGCTCTTCCTCAGCCACAGATGTTCCAGATGTTTTGATTTTTGAGGCTTGTCAGTTTATTCAGTAGCATATGAGTTTGCTGAAGGAAGCAGAGCAGAAGAAAGGCCACCAAAATAAAAGCTCAGGTGACAGAGAACGTGTTTTTGTGTGCTTGTTTTGTTTCAGGATGACACTGTGGACCTCAGACACATCTACTTCAATATGGCAGCCCTTATCGGACATGTGGACGAGATCTCTCTGTTTCACTCTGCTTTCGCTGTAAGTTCTGCTCTCTTAGATTCATATTTCGAGCAGACCTCTTGTTTTAGTCGGTGATGACACAGCCGTCTTGTGTTGCAGGCGTTCGACAGAGAGGGCAGAGGCAGTCTGACTAAAGAGGAGCTGACCGAGCTCATGGGAGCTCTGCTGGGTGTTCCTCAGCAGAGCACCGAGGAGCTCTACGACACTGCCACCGAGGACCAGGAGCAGCTCACTGAAGGTGAGAGTCAAACGGCGAAGCAGCTGCTGACGGCACATCGCTGTGCAGCCGCTGGAGATTATAGAGCTGCGTGTTAGCGTTGTTGCATACAAACTACAAACTCGTGGTGAGTGTGAGGATTAGCGAAAAAGGTGCAGACACAGGAAGTTTTAGTGATGAAGCATCGACCTTGCTTGGTTGAGGCTAATATCTGCTTTAACGTGTTGTAGTGTATTGTGTTTTATTTTATTTAAACAAGCCCCTAAAAATAATCAGTGGTCACTGTGGGCTTCTCTGGCTGTTTATTAGCACCGTTTATGTGCAGCACATCTTTAAGCTCAGTGTTTAAAGGCTTACAAGGTTCACGGGTCACCAGACACAGAAGTGAGTGCCCCATAAAAGAATCACTCTGAGTCGGCCTAAGATTTCAGTGGCTACATGAAGCAGAGGATCAGGACGCTTTGATAGCCAGTAATACAAACCACACAGCAGCATATTAATTACTAACCTTGTGTTGTGGATCGATCCTCTCAGCTGTTCTCCTGACTGTTTGCCTTATGATTTCATTTGTCTCTGCCCATCAGGGACCTTCACATTGATTTTTATTGAGGGGAAAATGCTCATGCTCCAGCTTCACTGTGCTAATGTGTTTATATTACCCTAACCATAGCCTGTAGCTAGCCACCAGGCAGTGCACTGTTATATCCCAGCTAGCCCAACTTCAATAATCCCACAAATATAGCTGCTGTTTATTTCCTGTTGTCATTTATGTGTGAAGTAACAGCAGAGCTGCACGTTGTAGCTTATTAGAAATCCCTCAGTAAGAACGCTTTGAACTCTAGGTGATGCTGCGGTGTTTGAGCTTAGGACCAAACAAGAGTTTGGACTCACTAACAACTAATCGTGTCAGAAAAACACGGGATAACAAAAACTTTGAAACCACAAACTGGAATATTGAGGCTGAATTTCCAACTGAATTTCGTGTTTCCAATGGGAATAATGCACGTCGACATTTGATGTGCAACACTACATGAAACACAAGGCTGGAAGGAAGATAACTCAAAGGATTAAGAACCCACGAGGGCCATCACATCCACCAGCAGAGAGTTACGTCTGTAAATAATAAACTAGCTGCATTAACACAGGAGCATAAACACATAGCTAGCCTGCAGGACCATGTTTGTGGGCTTCTTTGATGAAGTCCTCAGTTTAATGTGACAGCTCTTTTACTCAGCTCAGGTTTTTTGTACTTATTTACTGTTGACAGTGATTAAAATAACCTCTTTGCTCCCCGAGCCTGGGGATCTGGGCCTCTGCATCAGCCGACTGAAAAGCCAGTTTTGTCTAGTTTATTAGTAACTTTATATTTTATACTACAAATTTCTATCAGAAAAAATAGTCATCAAACCTAGAGGATACATGTGTTTAACCTGAGCTTGGTCTTCACTGAGCTGTGGTGCCTTGTGCTGTGTTAAACTAAACTGAGGGGGATGGGAGGAGCTAAAATGTCTTCACATTTCCATAGAGAGCTTGCTGCTCGTGTTGACAACCCACCCGATATATCAGAAAGTGACAAAGGAGATCCTGCAGTCCAAGGGACTGCCATCCGCCAACGGGACGTCTGTGAACAACAACAGAAGCCTCCTGAACAGCTCCGTTAATGAGGACAAGAAGTCCGAATGATGATCTCCTCTCTGTAATTGGACCTTCTTTGTGTTTCCCCAGAGTGCACGATGGCGGGGCCAGATAGAAACAACAGAAACAGCTAAAGATTGTATTTTCAGCTTTTAAGTCTTTTTTTTCCAGCTGTTATGTTTCAAAAAGTGTTACATATCCTATTAGTCTGCACCGACACAGAAAAGCCAAAAAAAGAACCTCTGAGGTTTAAAGTTAGTCTGAGTGATGCTGCTGTGGTGCTCAGAGGTGTGAGGACAGCTCCTGTTTGTTTTCATCCTCATCGTGTACAGTCACTGTCATTTGTATTTATAACCTTTCCACTCATATGTGTTTTAGTGAATTTTGTGTTGTTAAAGGGATAACGATGATGATGATGATAGTAATGATGATAATTGCATGTGCAAAAACAAAGTATACTCTGGAAGATTTATTCTGTGTGAATGAACCATGTTTACATTTAACAATAAACTGTGAATTCATTTACAAAGCCTTGTTTGTTTTCCCGCCTTAAGCGCCTGTAACAGATCAAACTGCAGCAGGAAATGGACGTTAAGTGTCCTGAGGTGTTTGTCACAAATAAACATCATTTTTCTCTTACTCATTTATTTTTCTTTCAAACTGTTGCTCCTAGCTTCTTTTGGCTTTCCTGCTTTTTGTGTGGGACTCTACTCCAGTTGCTCCATTGCCGTCCCTGCGTTTTCTCCCGAGCGTCCCCTCTTCCCGCCGGCTTGGTTGTTTGACGCGGATGATTTTTAAACTTGGGGCATTGTGTTGCGAAAAATCCCTTCAACATTGGGACTCTTGAGCTGTTTCTTCTTTGTCGGCTCCAGAAACTGCTCTGCAGTGCTCATTAGTTTTGTTTCCCGGCTCCGCTTTCTCTTAAATGACTGGGTTCTTTGTTTTTTCTGCAGTTTTTTCTTCTCCTTGTCTTTCTCTGTTCCACGTGTTCTTTTAAGGACCGCAGCAAGCGCTTCGAGAATGTTGGTCTTGGGTTTGGTCTGGTTCTCCTCGCTCGCCTGAACCTCCTGTTCGAAAGTTTTGGGTGAAGGCGGTTCTTCTAAAAGGTTTGAAAGCAGGAGGCGGGAGCAGCTGATCCCAACTTCATTCTGGGATGAATTTTGTCCGTTTCTATTGGGGCTACTTGCAAAGAGGGAGCCTGGAGCATCCAAAGAGAGTGACTGTGAAGATACCGAAGGTGTTTCTCCGTAGAAATGATCGCTGTTTGCAGGACATGGAGGCAGCTCCTCCTGCAGGATCATCTGTAGAGCAAGAGAACAAACAAAATATCCCCTAAACATTCATTTTCAATAAATGTTTATGTTTTTGTTTTTTAATTATTGTTACTGTACTGTATCAGTATTTAAAGGATGCTACCTCTTGCTCTTGTTCTTCAAAAAGGTCCTGACTGGCAGAGAGGAGAGGCATGAGGGCTTCGATATTCACCGTGGACTCCACCTGGCACAAAGAGCAAAGGCAACAGTTTGAACAACAAAACATCATAAAAAGGGCTAATACTCAGGAAGTGCTGTGAGCAAAATGTGCTGCAAGTATAGTTGCAAAGCTTTTTTATGAGTGAAACATGTTTTTATTAAACATGTGAACATAATACAAAACAAACTCTTGTAGGGGATACAAAGTTAGAGAAATACAATTTTTTGAATTTACGAGGATCATGCACATGTAGTACAAGCAGAGCGTAGTGGTCAGCGGGACACAAATTTTGTGTCCTTTGCTGCGTCCAATGTGAAAGGGCCTTCAGGGTCATCCAGGAAAAAAACTGGACTCTAAGTAAAAATCTGTATTCACCAACTAGTTGGCAAGTGGTAGCTAACCAGTTGCAAACCTCCTCCGTCAGTAGTTTTTCATGGAAGACGCCAGCTTGCCTGCAAACACTCGTCAGCTGCACTTTTACAAGCTTCACTATGACTCTGCAATTAGTCGACAAGTATTTGCAGACATGCCAGACCCTTTTTAGGACCACATTCTCCTAGCTACACCCAGCTACCTCCAGCAACCACTAACCGACCACAGGGAGGTTACACATTTTCCTGAACAGCTGGAGGATGGTGGACAATCTGAGGGAAACTGTCCACTCACACTAAAGCCTCACCTGCTTAATCATTCTTTTTCTCTACAATGGGCCCCAAAACATACAAAACATAGCTTTGTGTTTTATGCAGTAAATCCTCAAATTATTGACTGAGCCATGAACTCATCATGACAGTGGTTATTGAGCCTGCCGATCAAGTAAGGAGCAGGTTGTTTTCCAGACTATTGCATTCAGATTTAATGTTTACAAACAGAGGCATCGCCCCCTGCTGGCTATTACAAGTAATTCAAATCACAGGTCCACAGGTCCCCATCAGCTTTTTCTTAACAGTTGCTAACGGCAACAAATATATAACACTTCACATAATTTATTGGTGTGATGCTGTCTTCCTGCTCTAAATATAATGAAAGGGTTATGCATGGACAGTTTACCTTACTGACAAACTCCTCGTCTCTGCACAGCTCATCCATATACTCCAGGAAGGAACTGTTTTCCATGTTCAGGTACCCAGCCTCTCCATGCTCCTCCTCCCTGGGGTCTTCAGCCTGAGTGGGAAGCAGCTGGAACAGACGAAGGGTAAAATATCTATACACAAACACAGCTTACAAAATTTCTTTTTTCTACTTGTGGATGACTTGGTTGAAAAAGGCTGTTTACAGTTTCAATACAACTGCTCACCTGGTCAAAGAAGGGCCCTAGGAGACTAAAACATTCGTCAATGGAATGTTTGTTCACTGCTTCCTCATCTAAAGAGGCTGTAGGTCCGGGAAAACAACAGTCCTCTGTAAGACTGGCTGGGATGTTTTCTTTGGGAGTCTTGCTTTCATTG